GTCCTTCAATGCAGGAGTTGGGGGTTTGAATCCACCAGCAGTCACATGCCAAAGTGTCCCTGGGCAAGACACCGAACCCCTCGTTGCCTCCGATGTGTGTCCCATCGGTGTATAAATGTGATAAAGCTCTGATTAGTCTCTTTAGAATGATTTGTTCAATTAGCTTTGTAGAGATCTAGTAGAGTGCTGTATGAATGGGTAAATGAGGCACAGATTGTTGTAAAGTGCTTTGAGTATCTCAATAAGATAGAAAGGCGCTATATAAGTACAGTCCATTTACCATTTACTATTTAATATGTAGTATATGAATATACTCTAGTATATTTGTATATATGTATATATATATTTGTATGTGTAGTGTATATATACAAATAGTATAATACAAATATACAGTATTACAGATGTAGAGGTGGTATAAAAAGGCTTTTTTGCACTGATCTAACTGATTGGGGATCAGTTCGGTTTTTGCATAACTAGACATCAGCTTGAATCTGTTTGTGTTTGTCCTTCAGAAACACCCGTTTATTTTGATGTACGAGGAACGCTTCGTGGATGTGGCCAGCTACGTGTGTCGCATCCTGGATCAGATCCCCTCCTCCCCCATCTCTCCCATGTACGTCGACTGATCCCAGGCCAGATGCGGTGTTTGCCTCCAGTGGGTGGTACACCGAGCGTTTGTCATCTTGGCTGTCACCTGTTGTTCACGCGTTCCAAAGAAGAAAAGAAAAGTCCAAATCCCTTGGTGTAACAACATCCATCTAAATAACTCTTCCTTCATTGTAAGAACCCAAAATCTCATCATCCATTGACTGGCAGAAAAACTTGAAGCAGCAATGTTGTCTTAGTAAAATGCATCTTTGCTTTTGACGGAAAAATTAGATTAAGCATATATGAAATACTATACTTGAAACTGATTCAGAAAAACAGGAATTACCAAATGAAATGTTGTGAAGCTCATCATGTAAGAACAAATGACTTGTACAATGGATCCATATGTTTTCATGTACAGATGAATGCTGACAGACCTACTGTCTAAAAACACTTCACACAAGTTGTCAGCACCTTTCTCACACGGTATATCAATTATTATGCAAAAGTTTTATTTTTTCCTGGAAAGCCTATTGGTTATGTAGTGTGGCTTCCCCCCTCCACCCACCTTCCCCATTCCTCGTATGCAGTATGTAAGAGCTTGTTGGGGCACATTTTAGATTCCTCACATCTCTTTCTGGCCTCAGTTTGTCTTTTCTCATTTTGTTCAAGTCACGCAATTAGGCATGGTGTGTTTAAAAATATATTTTATAGATTTATTAGTTTAAAACTTTTAATGTTACTTAAAGGAATTTTAAGGGCATGTTGTCGCCTTAGAGTTTTAAGCAAACGTGCTCCACCATCTTAGCTCAGATGTGTCGGGGATAACTCGACTGCCACAGCACCAAATTTTAGCTCAATATTTGTAAAATGGTCTGAATTAGAGCTAAGGTTGTGGCAGCCTTCTTGAATTTGGTTGACTTTACAAATTAATCAGTTGTAGACATACACCTAATGATGACTTTTATTTAACTGATACTACTTTCAGCTAATGATAAACTTGTGTTGAACAGCAAACGAGCTGAAAATTTTTCTTGCAAAATATTTTAAGTTACCAAGTCTTTGCCCAAAATGATAATTTGTTGCATAAATGATGCATTTTAAATCTAGTTCCAACCAAAATTTAAATGTTTTTTTTTTTTTTTTTTTTTTTTTTTTTTTTTTTTTTTTTTTTTTT